TGTCTGTCTGTCTGTCTGTTCCACAAGAAGGAGATGTGCTAGAGACTTCAAATTTTCAGGGGATCTCAAGGTTCACCCCCACAAAACAAAACGCCCACGGCAAATCCTGTCAGCCACCCCTAAGGGGCTCAAAGGGGGTATCGAAGAAAACAGTTTGGGCGCTAGGGCGAGTTTCTCTCACAAAAGTGGCCCAAAGTTAATTTATTAATTTTTGAAAATATTGGATGGTCTCCTAAGAGCCCACTGGGTGAAAATTTCGTCCGTTTTGCGCTATCTCTAATCGTTTACGCGCTCGAGGGTCTTTTTAGACAAAAATAAGCTAAAAATTGCCATAGTTAACAATAAGATGTAGAAAAGGGCCTAAAAACCGCAAAATAGAAAGGAAACTTTCCCCCACCCCCAAAAAACGTTTTCTAAGCAGATGGGTGGGTTGTAGTCGCGGTGCTTCACCGTTACATCTCTTTCTCAAGTCTTTGGGGCAAACTCAAAGATGACGGGTTTAAGCGGGCCGAAGGCCCGCTACATCATTACATCATGTTCTTCAGCAAATCGCGTGACAGAAATGGTCGGGCCGCAAGCCCGACCATCGCCGCCGGCAGGGCAAGCAGGCCTGGCCCCTGCCGAATGGAGTTGCCGGCGGAGCGAAGCGGAGCTGGCAACTTCGTTTGGCGGAAGGGCGGGCCTGCTTGTTGGACTTAGCCCCCTCTTCCACTTTACAGCAGTTTAAATGAGATTATTAACTGCAATCAGTGCTGAGGAGGGGTGCAGTTGTGAATTTATTGATGTGCAAGGAGCCTTTTTAAGTAGCAAGTTGGATGAAGAACTATTCATGCATCAACCACCTTTTTTTGAAGAAAGTGGTAATAATTTTGTATGCCATTTAAATAAGAGTTTATATGGATTAAAGCAGGATGAAAAGGACTGGCACAAACCTATTAATCAGATTATGTTCAATCCTAATTTTATTAGATGAGCGAATGATAATTGTGTGTATGTTCATCCTTCTGAACAACTTGTTGTGAGCTGGTACGTTGCAAGCTAATCCAGATTCCAACATAGATCCGTCCCCGATGTCAAATTAGGTAACGTTAGGCAAAAGGAGGACCCCGGGTGAAAAAAAGAACTGACCCGAGACCGCAGTAAACTGACTCATCCGACCGGGGGCTGATCTTAGCTGACGTGCATGACCTACGACTGAACGAGCTGAAAATAGGCAAACTTGGAGCGCCTCGAGTCGACTTGGAGCTGACAGCGAATCAGTTTACATCAGCAAACTATCAGTTCACCTCAGTTTCTCCAATCAGTTGGCGTCAGTCGCAGTTCAGCTTGTGCTCTGACTGCCTTTGAGTGGAGGTCAGCTGAGTGGACCTCAGTAGCCACGACTCAGCAAACAGCAGTTCGATTCAGTACAGATGATCACTGCCGTTACCTGATCGTGGACTGAACCGCTATCAGCTCCCCGAATCAGGTGTTAGTCAGTTCTACTCAGTAACAAAAATGTACTGCGGAAAGCTGTACCGTTGCTGAGTCACACTGAGTTTCTGAATTCAGCCAGCGTCAGGTCCGCTCAGTACTACATCAGTTACCCGATCAGTTACTATCAGTTACCTCAGGAGATGGTCAGCGCGACGCAGCTAACGTTCAGTCATATTTCACTTACTAGTTCAATTACTCTCAGTTTTGTCAGTGCTTCTAGACGTGAGCGTAAAAACGTCAGTCCCAGGTTGGCTTCGTGTTTGGTAAAGTCAGTTAATAGTCAGTTTGATCAGCTTCGGAACTGTTTAGTTTCAGTTAACGTCAGCTCCACGCAGCTGTACATCAGTAAAATATCAGTTAACTGCATCCTCGGATCAGCTTATTTTTTAACACGGGACAACACCAACTTTTTAAAACAATTGTATTTCAATATTATTTTTACAGGCTGTTCATAACTTTCCAGGGAGGTTCAGGGTGAGATGAAAGCCACGAAATCCACCGCGCGGTTCTGAAGTACGTTCCTGAAGAAAGACGCTGGCGCAGGTTTGAGCAAACGGGGTCGAGATCCTGATGAGAAATCTACGTGTGCAAGGCCGTACTTAACGCTGGTGAGAGGAACAATCGAATTAATGAGTTGTTTGTTACCGCCTCATTAACTCAAACTTATGTAATAGCATTTACTTGTAGCCGTTGTTCCACTCGAAGCTGTCCGTGAGACTACGCGCTGCATAGCCCATAACGTTGCACCTGTCTTCGTTTACAGCGCGCATAACTCCGCGGAGGTAAGCCTGGAAAGAACGCAATCCGTTTGATTTAGTACGAGCAGACTTATGCACATTAGGTGCTGCAGAGGTAGGCAATACTGTGTTACAGAGGGACACAATGCACCGCCCGAAGACCGTAAAAGTAAGTAACATTTAGTTTATACGCGTTGACACTTGTTCGATAGGGTATTTCAAAGCTGGACGTGAAGAAGTAAAATGGAAGAACAAAAGGCGCACTGCTCATGCGCAGATGCAAAGTGGGGGCAGCAGGGGGTAGAGTGGGGGGCGTCTGGACGTGCGCAGTGCCCGTTTTGTTCTTCCATTTTACTTCTTCACGTCCAGCTCTGAAATAGCCTGTTTCAAAACGTACTGGAAAACAAAGCTGCCTTCCTGTTAATGACACTCCTTATTCCTAATGCAGAGTGTGCTGAACTATGCAATATTGTGTAGCTTGTGTATTGACATTGGACATTCTTCATTATTCCGTACCAAAAAATCTTAAGCTGTCAGCAGCAGAATGGCGAGCTATGAACTTACACTGAAGTATGCGCTTCGTTTTACATCATCTATGTCGTTATCTGCAGATCCAGAGTATCCGTTTTCAGTAACGAGAACCTGTACGCCATTATACCTCTCGTCGATCCAATTCAAAGCACCTCGTATACTCCAAGGAGTAATCTGGAAAATAGTAAACAAAGTTGTCACCTTTTGACTGCAGTAATTTCACTCCTACGCATTTTTTTCCGGGTGCAGATAGTCCGGCAACTCAGACTGAAAGGAAAAATTATCCCTCTTGGAAGGGAACGGTAGGGTGATTCTCAGCACAAGATGTCATTTTGCAGCGGTGATTCTCAGCACAAGATGTCATTTTGCTTTGCCGGAGTAAAAAAATAGTAATTGTGGATTTTCTTTGCATTTGTGTTGCAAACGTTTCGAGGTTGTTCCTAAAAATAAGTTCTGAGTGACAGCAGCGCATGATCTGGTTTTAGACCTTTCTACCAAGAGGACACGGTGACGGAATTTACCTATTACGGAAATTACAAGTGGCTATATTTCGATGTCCACGCTAGGAAATGCTGGCCCGGTCCATGCGTCCACTTTTGCATTGAAATATATCAGACAGCAAAAGTTTATAAGGTACAGAACGGTTCCGGGAAGAATTTGTTACGGTTTGGTGCCAGAAAACGGAATTTACATGCATTTACATAGGGTAAGGTGCCCTAATGTGGCCACTGTCCATTGATGGCCACTTTTCTCGATTTCCAGCCAATCTGGTCACTTTACAATCTTGGCCTTAAAGTAGTGTTCCAGTAAGGCCCCTACTTGGGCATAATAAGCCAAACTACTTCACATCGTTGTCTACATTACAAGAAAAAGGGGTGGCCATCATTGGGCAGGCCCATTCTTAAGGTGGCCATCAAAGGGCATCTCACCCTAACGTACTGGTTTTTCAACTTCAGAAGCTTTTTAGCAGATGACTTTGCTTAACTATGTATCATTGCTTGTACTCTCATGCGGAGCGCTGAGAGGCACCAGGCATGATGTCATCCAATAGTGTGTGGAGGGCCGCGCGATGCGGATCCCGCCGCCCGCCGTGCCACAGCCAGACGCCCCCTTCCCCTCCCTTCTACCCCCCTCCCTCCGGCAGACTCAGCTCGCCGCTTGGCTCGAGGCGCAGCTCGTGGCTCGGCTCGGACCGTCTCGGCTGAGAAACGCGCGCGGCGCGTTAATTCAAACTCTAACGTAACTATGAAGAGACAGAACTAAATGAATTCAGAAACATTATTTTCAAACCATGTCTCTATTGAAAAGTATCACTCGCAAACTGTCTCTACGTCCCTCTTCACACTGACTTAGTCTTAGCTTAGACCGAGTCTTAGACCCTTCAAAACATTACAGTAATGTCCCTCTCGAAGCTGGCAAATCGAGACCGGATTTCAGCTTCGAGAGGGAGACCGAAAGTTAGCCACATGTTGCGAACCTATTGTATTGGCGCGGACTCGGGCATCAGGCGGTTGTAAATGCTTTGTCGCTCGCGCGAGCTCGCCGGGTTGTAAACCCCCATCTTTAAGCAGGGTCCGTCTCAAAATTTCAGCTTCGAGCGAGCCAGCTTCGAGAGGGGCATTACTGTACAAAGTATAGGAGACGCAGAACACAACCCAAATCTTTTTATTACCTATATACTATACAAGTAATGCGTAATGTGATCTTCCACTGAAGTATTATAGACTTTAATAATTCTTGAATTCGTATCATCTGCTTTCACGATCCGTTCCTGAACGGAACTTTTTTTCTCTTGTTGGCTGAGCGATAAGCGAAAGCCTACTACTCCAGTGATGATCAAAAAGTTTCGCGTCTGTCTGTGTGTGTGTTTGTGTGTCTGTACGCACGATAACTCGAGAACGAATTGAGCTAGCGACCTGTAGAACCCTATGGGCGACAATTTCGTCCGTTTGGCTCTATCTTTAACAGTTCAGGCGCCAGAGGTAGTTTTTGATGAAAATAAGCGAAAAAATGTGCAATTCTGCATGCTAAGTCGAAGTGACGGGAAGTTGACGGGCCGGAGGCCCGTATCTTTGTGTACATTTTTGCACTACCCGACTCGGGTGTCAGCTCTGCAGGCCTAGGTAGATGTATGCCAGGTGCGTCGCAGCGTTACAGTGTTTCGTGAGATATCGCGAAGCCTGTTACGCGAGACGTGGTCTGGTGCACATCCACCTAGTCTTATTCTAGCTTGGCAGCATTATACATGGTAACTCATCACACGGTTAAAGCCACACATATAACGTTAGGAAAGAAGCAAACGCGCCTGTTACATTAGCTAAACAACGAAGCGTGGCTCACGGTGGACATTTTCTGTCGACCCATACTGGATAGAAGAAATTTGAGATTCAAAACCGTTGGTCCCGAAAATTTTAGTGAAGATCTAAACTTTAAATAACAGCTATGTGTTCGTTATAAGCTCTTATGCATTTATATTAAAAGCGACAGGAAGTCTTGCTTTGTGGTCATAGGACATAGACGGAACTTACACGCTAAAAAGCATGTTCGCTAAAATACTAACTTTAGGCCTTGCGATTTGCTGTTGCAGCAAACACATTTTTGTTTTTCCCGTGTTAGCAAAAGGTTTTGCTGTTTCAGCAAACAGTTTGCTAAAAGACCAAAGCGTTTTTCTAGCGCTGCTAAATATTTTGCTGTGACCATAGCGACAAACTATTTTCTCCGCTATGGTGACAGCAAAACATAGCAGAGCTAGCAAAAGAATTTGCTGTTCAACCAAAATGTTTGCTGGAACATCAAAAACCTTTGCTGAAACAGCGAAAACAAAAATTTGTTTGCTGCAACAGCAAAACGCCAGCACCTGGAATTTTCTATTTTAGCGAACATGCTCTTTTGCGTCATACTGGGCAGGACACGTCTGACCCACTGAGCCTTTCGCTAGAGCTAGTGTATTCCAAAGCGCGTTTGAATATTGTAGTCCGTGCTGCGTTTAGTGAATAGGAGGAGAACGGGCACTCATAGCTATCAATAGGCATTTTCTAGAAGGAAAAGACACGAAATGACATCTTGTGCTTGGAATCACCCGGTTTTTAAGAACTTACCGCATCTTGCCCACCTGGTGTTCGGAGCCACTTTTCATCTAATCGGGTTGCAACATTTACATCGTTGGAGAACGATATTTGTGCGGTACGCTGCCCCTCTGTGCAAAGTCTTGCACTGCTGTGCTTCAATCCAAGGAAGTCTGTAGATCCTTATAACCAAAATAATGCACCGTAATGAGCAGAAGTTCATCGTGCCATGGGCAGAACATGTAATTTGTTTTGTAGCGTGAAGATAAGCAAAAATGCATCTCTGCATGGACAAAATTAGTCCTCTGACGTTTGTAGTGCAGAACTGCCCAAGTTTCATCTTCTTTTAGTGAATCCCAGCTAAAAATCCCGCCGGAAATTTGTCACTTTCCGGTGGAAATTCGCGATTTTCTACGGGTTTTTCCATTTTTCCGCCGGAAATGACGATCCCGCGGAAATTCTCGACGTTACCTGGATAATATTCGTTTTTGTCGGATTTTTTTTTAATGCCATAGAAAATTCTAGTTGCCCTCGGAATCACTTTCCGCGGATATTCCTTTTCCGGGGATTCGTAATGTTACTCGGAACACATGTTCCATGGAGATTGCTTCCATGGAGGAAACGCATTTCACTGAGTGGTGGCAATTTTCACGTTACGTCTTAGTTTCATAGAAATTCCGTGGAAATGCAGGAAATTCCTTGGAAACCCCATCCTTGTACGCAAAGCACTGTTGGTCGGAAACCATCTCAACTTCCATGTAAATTCATAACATCACTGTTTCAAAATGCACATGCACGGAGAAAAGAATCATCGCTTTCTCATATCAAACTAGACTATTGAACTAATCAAGAAAGTAAATGAGGGGAATGAGTTAAAAATTGGGAAATTAGGAAGTTGGGATACAAAAGATCTCATCCATTAACCGAGACTGTTGCTTTAAAGGTTGTGTGACTTCATACAATTCAAAACTATCAGAAACCAGTCCTCGTAATTAGATCTGTCGTCGTTCCAGGTAATTTTTTTTCCTACAGAATGTCTGACTTTTACTTATATAGTCGGAACATAGTGCACATGCCAAAAATCGACCTTTCTTTACGTCTGGTCCCCTGAACCAGAGCCCACCGCTCTGTGCTGCTGCTGCTGGCTGACGCGCGCAACTCGTGGAATGAAGTTTCGTTACATTCGTTTGAATATTCTTGTGGGGACTGCTTATGACCCGTAGCACTTAACCTCAAACATAACCTTAACATGCTACCGCAGTACGGTATTTTGTTTCAAAATTATTGATTCTTTAAGCCCTTTTGTCTACGTCAATGTAAGCTACCAATTATGTGCTGTGTTCATTGATCTGGATCTCCATACAATCAAGAAAATAATCATGTGTCACCAAAACCTAAGTGTGATATGCTATTTCCATGGAAGAAATTTCCAGGGACCACTACCGATGCAATATTATTTCCATGGAACAATGCTTTCCCGTGGAATCACTGTTCCAGGGAAAATTTTACATGGATGTAACCAAATTACTCAAGGGATTTGAACTCCATGGAATAATTTCCGGCGGAATTTTCAGCTGGGAAACAGAGACACTCTTAACGGAATAGGAAATTTTTGAATCAGCGAAGATGATTTCTAAAGCACATATCGGTATTGAGTATTGAGACAAAATTTGTATAGGGAGGTAAGTCGTTCTTTACTTTTGTCTTGTTCAGAAACAAACTTGCTTTAGGTTGAGATGAACCAAAGAACACATCCTCTCTTGACACAAAATTGCCCTTTCCCGTCTTAAGTGCAGACCAACAGGCAGTACACACATGTGAAAGGTTTACACTCAGACTTACACTTCAAATGGGGAGGGACAATTTTTCAGCGAGGTTCGATGTGTTCTTAGGCACAACCTTATCAGATATAAATTGGTCCGCAGGGAGGTGAAAGTTGTACCTAGGTCTGCTGAAAGTGTTTTATGTGGTACGTAACGTAGATACAAATTTGTATCTGATTTAGATGCGCACAAGAAACGTCGAGTCTACGTACAAAATTTGATCTTCGTCATTTAGTGTGTAGTGTTTGAACTTAAACACGGAATTTTCGTTTGGTAGGCCTACCCGTAACGAGAGCCATCTGTGCAGGGGTGAACGACGGCAGTTTGTCCCCTGCGGCCTGGCGTAGTGAGTCTGGGTACCGGCCGGTAAAGAGAGGATCTGCGACCCACGCGAACGAGGCTTCCATGAAACGTTCAGCGGCCGCCGCATCTGCGGCACTCGATGCGTTTTGAGGCTGACCATAGTCCAGAAAAAGTGTTGAGCCGACCCGACCTGCAAACGATGGTAATGTAAATGTACACTGTTATTTAGGCACTGTGACTCGTATCATATATTGGTTAGAATACCCCGCTACATTCGTTTTAGCGTGACATAGTTACTCACCTCAAGCACATAGACTATAAATGGCACGGGACAATATTTGTCTAGTTGCACATGCGTTTGTGTGCGCATCCTGCAAGATGAAATTTAAATCCTGAGTAGTTCTAAATCCTTTTTCTCAATTGAGCAAAATACAAATTTGTCCAGCAGGAGATACACATTTGTTATTAGGGTGGGGAGGGTTGGAGGTGGGTTAGCCACCTCCAATCCTGGTGGCTTGTCTCCTCGCGATCCCCACCTGGGAGGGGGGTAGGACAGGGGCTGACCTGCTTTTAGTTTGCATGGCAGTGCACTGCTTCTATCCGCCTGCTAAACACCAAACGCGTAGGTCCTGGAGGGCCCGTTAACTTTCTTCAAGACCGCTGTCCCTCAGCTTGTCCGCCCCTTCGCCTCTCTCTGCTGTCTCAACTCTCCACCCTTCACCTCTCTCTGCTGTCTCCCCTCTCCACCCTTCGCCTCTCTCTGCTGTCTCCCCCTCCCCACCCTTCGCCTCTCTCTGCTGTCTCACCTCTCCGCACTTCGCCTCTCTCGGCTGCCTCACCTCTTCACCCTTTTGCCTCTCTCTGTCGTCTTACCTCTCTCTCCTTCACCTCCCTCTGCTATCCCACCACTCCACCCTTCGCCTCTCTCTGCTGTCTCCCCTCTCCGCCCTTTGCCTCTCTCTGATGCCTCACCTCGCCACCCTTTCGCCTCTCGCTGCAGTCTCCCCTCTCGCCCCTTCGCCTCTCTCTGCTGTCTCACCTCTCCGCACTTCGCCTCTCTCTGCTGCATCACCTCGCCACCCTTTCGCCTCTCTCTGCAGTCTGCCCTCTCTCCCCTTCGCCTCTCTCTGCAGTCTCCCCTCTCTGCCCTTCGCCTCCCTCTGCTATACCTCCTCTCTACCCTTCGCCTCTCTCTGCTGTCTCACCTCTCTCTCCTTCACCTCCCTCTGCTATCCCACCTCTCCACCCTCCGCCTCTCTCTGCTGTCTCCCCTCTCCGCCCTTCGCCTCTCTCTGCTGTCTCCCCTCTCCGCCGTTCGCCTCTTTCTGCAGTCTCCCCTCTCTCCCCTTCGCCTCCCTCTGCTATCCCACCTCTCCACCCTTCGCCTCTCTCTGCTGTCCCCCCTCTCCGCCCTTCGCCTCTCTCTGAGGCCTCACCTCGCCACCCTTTCGCCTCTCTCTGCAGTCTCCCCTCCCCCTCTCCCCTTTGCCTCTCTATGCTGTCTCCCCTCTCCGCCCCTCGCCTCTCTCTGCAGTCTCCTCTCTCTCCCCTTCGCCTCTCTCCGCTGTCTCCCCCCTCCGTCCTTCGCCTCCCTCTGCTGTCGCACCTCTCTACCCTTTCGCCTCTCTCTCCCGTTTCCCCTCTCCGCCCTTCGCCTCTCTCCACGTTTCGCCTCTCTCTGCTGCCCCTCCTATACGCCCTTCGCCTCTCGCTGCGGTCTCCCCTCTCCCTTTGCCTCTCTCTGCTGTCTCACCTCTTTGCCTTTCGCCTCTCTCTGCTGTCTCACCTCTCCGCCTTTCGCCTCCCTCTGCTATCTCCCCTTTCCGCCCTTCGCCCTCGTTGCTGTCTCACCTGCCTGCCCTTCACGTCTCTCTGCCTCGCTCTGCTCGCTCACCTCTCCGCCCTCTCTGTCTGCTGTTTTTACCTCTTCGCCCTTTGTCTCTCTCTGCCGTTTTACCTATCTGGCCTGCCGCTTTCATCCTCCACCTTGCATCCCTCTCCCTCTGTCTCTCTGTACCTTCTCCTTCCCTTTGCCTCTTTCTGCCATCGAACCTCTCCACCTTGCCTCTCCCTACCTTCTCACCGCCGCACCCTTTTGCCTATCCCTGCATACCTTCGCCTCTGTGCCGTCACGCCTCTCCTTCCCCTTTCCCCGCTGCTCTCCGCCGTCCTGCCTCGCCACCCCTCTTTGTCTCTCTTCCTGCAGTTTGCCTCCTCACCCCTTTGTCTCTCGCGCTGCTGTGTTGCCTCTTCGACTGTCGGACTCTGTCGCCCTTGCCTCCCTTTTGCTACGCTCCTTTCCTGTCTTTGCCTGCGCTTTGCCTGAGTGTTGCACCCGCTGCTGAGGGAGGGGTGCCTTTTGCCTAGTCTCTGCCGGGCCGCCACACCCCTCCCCTGTACCTTATGCCTGCTCAACTTTCTTTTCAGCCCTCTGTACTCTGCTAACCATACACACGAGTTTAATTACCAGGACCCTCGGCTGCCGCGCGCGGAGCGCGGTGGCGGGCCCCCGCGTGGCACGCGCTGTACGCTAACTACATAGGGGGCTGGTCACCTTGCTATACACCCTCTTCTAGGTGCCGACGAGACCCCGTGCCCGGACCTGATTTGGTTCTGTCTCGCTCGGCGTTATATCTATCTATCTATCTATCAGGAGATACACATTTGTTATTACTCTCTAAGGTTTGAAATTTCATCTTGCAAGAACACGGTTCACTGGTGCCAGCGCAGGAGCGGAGTGGTCACTGGGACTTCAACCCCTTCCATACCTTGCTGCCAGTCAGCGAAGTCTCTGCGATATGCGCGGTACGCCTGCGCGTGCGCCAAGATTTGGTTGTGAACACAGCGGTAGGCTGCCGTACCCTGCGAGTCGACAATGCCCGGGCCAATCTGCCCCTCTGCATACCCTTGCACGCACAAGGTCACTGGGTCGTGGAGCAGAAGCCAAGTGCTCACCTGCGCCGAACAAACAATGCACATAGCAACCCTCTGCCGCCACACTTGCCCACTCCCACTCAAACGTGTAAATGTGAACTCACCCGACTACCAAACAAGCTGAAGGCAAATGTGGCGTAATCGAGGAAATAGTCCGGCGCACTTGAATTCAACCACCCATTAACAATTCCAGATGGTATGTCCCAGTGGTGAAGAGTTACCTGTCCCATAGAAAACAACCAAGAACGTAAATCCCTTTAATTTATTTATCAGGAACGCCACAAAACCACCCTCCATCACAGAACAAGGCAGCCGTTGGAATTACTTTTTTCATTGTGGACCGTGCTAGTGATTCAGGAGGAACACAAAGAATTTAAAAGAAACGGCAACAGAACTAGAACACAGCTAGCAGATCATTTTTATCACTTTTCTGGCGTTTTGACATCTTCTTTTGTCCACAAAGCATCATCAGCGCTTCCAACGGAATTTCCGAGGGAATTTCTGTGACCATTCCCAGTGTGCTGATGTCATTCCCTTCCACCTTTACTCCTGTATCATCAGTGTCCGCGATCAGACCTATGTATACTAGTACTCCTGCTCCTCTATGCACATAAAATTTAATTATCTTATCACGAAATCCTGTTTATAACTTGACTTATCCGAAAACCCGAGTTATAAATGGCATACCATCAAGTATATTACAACCGTTTTAAATTATTTTTGCTCACCAAAAAGTTTTTAAAGATTTGACTTGTACGCCAGTGTCTGTTTCCAGTCTGTTCTGGTTCTTTGCGCTCCACTTCCTCACCCGCTACGACCTTTTGAAATTACACTCATACGGCCTGTTGCTAAAAATACTTCGAGGTGTACTTGGCGAAAGGAAAATAATAGGATGATGCTGTTTGAGTGGGTTTGAGGTATTTTTCTAAGCTTACCACAGGTTCAATATGATTTTCAATCAAGGCGCTGAGCAACTTGTCGTAAAAGTTTATTGCAACCTGATTAGCATGTAGGCTGCTTCCAGTTGGGAGCAGTCGAGACCATGACATAGAGAAGTGATAAGTCTGAAACTGAAAGAAAAACAATGCATGACATGATTTATTACAAGGATTCTTAAAATATCGAAAATGACGTAGTCATTAACAAGGATGTCTTTGAGAGGGCAGACCTGTGAAACAAAACTGTTTGGGAGAAACGGATCGACAATAAAACTATGAATTAAAGCGCTTTCAACGAATGATATTCAGAAAAAGCAAGGATTAAACCACTTTTGGAGGTAAAGAACGTTTGCGTGCGTTTCCGGGAACATGCTCTTCTTTGCCTCGAAGTAGAAGGAGCATTTTCCGTGTGCACGGTCGCGTAAGTAGACCTACGGCAACGAAAAAAAAAAATGCTCATTTACTCATATAAGATGTATCTTTTGTTTAACGAGAGCGATTTTTGAATTTTCAATTTTAAATGCGTGAAAAAAAATAATTCTACAGTTTGGGTACCTAACATTCAAGTAAAAATTGCTGCACACGCTAACGCAAATCAGAAATGGGATAAAAACTCGTTTAGAGTTTTCAGTACCGATGTACAGCGACGAACGCAAAGCCAGGGCAACTTACTATAGTGTTTCTAAAAGATTAAGGGGCTCTCGAGTATCTTGTCCTGAGCTGCCAGGCACGAGTCCCTTGCGATTCGGAGCGGTCCAGCCACCCAGACGCCCGCAGCACGTTTTGGGCTCCCCTGAGCGCAGTTTTTCGAATTTCAACATGCGCTTTGCGACGTAGGGAAGAGGAAGGATAAATTAATTTTTTTAAGCCAGTCAGAAAAAAACGATTTTTTAAATTATTTTCATATGTTTGCCCCCTCCATAAAAGTTCCGAGGAGACCGCAGCAAACAAGCAGGCCCGCCCTTCCGCCAAACGAAATTGCCAGCTCCGCTTCGCTCCGCCGGCAACTCCGTTCGGCACGGGGGCGGGCCTGCTTGGCCTGCCGGCGGCGACTATTTCTGTCTCGCGATTTGCTAAGGAACATGATCGGATGATGTAGCGGGCCTTCGGCCGCTTAAACCCGTCGTCTTTGAGTTTGCCCCGTAGACACGAGAAAGGGATGT